ACAGGTGTCAGAGAGGATACAACACATGAATGTAACATGTATTCATTTGTGTCTGCCAATGGTATGTGCTTCAGTAGAATGATTAGTACCATATCATGTAGATCTGAAGTTGTCCATGTCAATTACATTAGTTGTCTATGCGATTGGGTGAACACTGCCAACGGTTTCTCCTCAGAATGCCAACTCATCATCAGAATGCTGTACTGTATTTCACCTTTTGCCAAGTACTCTTACGCAGCATACGACTATTTATTTATAAGTGTATGACCTTGAATGAAACGGGTATTTAATAAAATATCTGACAGAAAGAACCAGTTTTCAAATTCTATGAATAGCAATATAGGGAACGCGATTACATGTTTTACATTAGACATGCAACCTGTAGAGTGAATACATTATTACGTCTATGGCGTTCTGCTGTCTATTGTGAATGCAGATAATCTGTTGAATTCTTATTGTTGTCAAATTCAATGACGTTAAGGTTCATGGACTCATGTGATCCAGCTGCATGTGTTATTGATTGTGACGTCTCCAGACAACCACAGTCGTTAACGCTTCAAATCTGCAGTTCACTCAGGTGAATGAGTTTAGTTTAACGCCGCTTTGAGCAATATCCCAGAAATATCAGGCACGGGACACCAGAAATGGGCTTAACACATTGAACCCATGTGGGGAATCGAATCCGGGTCTTCGGCGTGACGAGCGAACGCTTTAACCACTAGCCTACCCCACCGCCCCAGTTCACTCAGGAAGTCGTGATAAATAGTTCTGCCATTCTGAAATCTCTCATCACACACTGGTTGATTACTTCGTGTAGTGACACGTGAAGACTGTGGTTGAATGCGGTCAGGATGGTCAGGCTCGCTGACTTGGTTCACATATGTTATCGTGTCCCAATTGCGTAGACCGATGTTCATGCTGTTGATCACTGGATTGTCTGGCTCATACTCGATTATTTACAGACTGCCGTCATGTAGCTGGAATATTACTTAGGGCAGATGTATAACAATAACATCGCACTTGGAGACAGTGTACACATGTGTTGAAATATCGATTGAGCTAAAACATATCGTAGACAGACAGAAGGAATAGCAATAAAACTGTAAATAGCATCGTTCATAGTATAGACCTCTGGGAACATTTTGTGATATTTAACATTCAATGCTACTCAGGGCGTTTTGGTAGCTGTGTGGCTAAAGCGTTTGCTTGTCATGCCAAAATATCGGGCTTGATGCCTCTTTCTAGCGTTACACGCCATTATATTTTTTAAATATTGCCAAAAGCGGCGCTAAACAACATGCCTTTGATACTTGGTCAGTGCTCATTAATAACTTTTAAACAAGTTTTCAATAAACAGTGAAGTGTGTTTGTAAAGTATTGGATTGGCATAACATGTTCTTATCTGTATGTTTCATTGCTACTTTATTGTATGCGAGACTTCATCTGCTGTCATTTGGTTGTTGCCAGTGGTCTACGCGCCGTACAAGGAAATTCCAGACATGTTCAATGGCTGAGTGCTGGCCATTGTGAGCTGGTTGTGTTCTCCTGGTGGAGGTACTAAGTAACAATAGGTGCCCTGGGTGCTCTTGCGTTGTCATCCTGAAACACAAAACGACATCCATATCAGCGCGCAAATGGCATCACCTGTCCTCCGCCATGTTGTCACGGTATTACTGCCCAGTGACACGTCCGTGAATAGCGTGTAAAGGTGTTCTGGCATTCACGGTGATCCCATCCCACACCATTACTGAGCCACCACCAAAACAATCGTTCTGTCAGCAGCATGAAAACGCTCATTCCGTCCACGCCACATTCGGTAGCGCCTGTCAAGGAGGTCCAAAGTGAACATTGATTCATGTGCAAACATATCTTTTACCCAACGACCATTGACCCAGCGCTGCCGGTCTAGACAGTAACGACGACGTCTTGACTTCTTGTAGTAATGTGACGGTCCGTCAATCGCGGGAGTGAGTGAGTGAGTTTAATTTTACGCCGCACTCAGCGGATAACACGTCGAGTGTACAGGTTTTATCTGTGTAGCGAATTACAAATCACCTGTCCACTCTGACACCCATAACAGTTGAAATATTCGTGTGCGCCAGTTTTTGCCTTTGTCAACCAGATCGACGTCTGTCGTCATTATTTGTGTGTGGATCGTAACCTGTTAAGTACTGACGTACGTAACGAGTTGCTCGCACCCTTGCTCTGTCTCGTTCCAACTCCCAGCATGTCAAATTCACGTAGCCGTGTTTGACGTGACGCTTTCTCTAAAACCGTTTAATTGAACTCAAAACAATATGGGAACAACTTTCAGTTTGTTTTTATCACCCAGAATGTACTCCAACACTGTTGTCACGTTTCACTTTAAAATGTCAAATTTTACCTCGACCATAACACACATCATGACAAACAGCCGCATGAAATTCATAACACGCTGTGAATGGAATAAGTAATATTTTCTATCCATATACTGTCATTAGACTTGGTTTCGAAATAATATTTCAAAAAGGAATATCCGCTACATTTCCAATATCTTATTTCTGGACTGAAACTATATCAAACTCTAAATGATCTTGGTTTCAGTTATGTGTGTAATGAGTTGTCTTGTCCTTGTGTTATCTGAAGCAATGTTTCAACCGCTGTGAGTTGTCTTGTCCTTGTGTTATCTGAAGCAATGTTTCAACCGCTGTGAGCTGCCAGTGTACTACTAACTGGCTATGCTAGCTAACGATATATTTTAAAGGCTCTTCTGGGTGATTTTATACTCGAGTCTCCATCCTCGGCCATCACGCGTCGTATTTAGGATGATGAGTACAATTACTTCTAACTGGACAAAGACAAATATTCCCGTGCTACGTATATCAACGGGAATAAGCAGCTGTGCTTCATACAAGCTGGTGTGACTGTAGTGTTACTGAAAATAACATCATGTTGGGTCATTCGTGTGGTCATCTTTTTATCGTAACAAATGCATTTAACCAAACCCATTCTTGGTCACAGGAGACGGCAACACGGTGGTGTACAACCTATTGAATAATGTCTGTAACGCGAGTGTCCACTGTTTGTGCCGATGTGGGCGAGGCATCAGCGATACATTTGAGGCACAAGATGGTCAAACCAGCCTGGAGGATGTTGCCATACGCTGATTCCAATACACATGCGTTCTCGGGTGGTTTTGATCCTGTCGTATGCGTCACACCATCACACTCTAGATTGTTTTCTATTGGGTAGAGTCCCGGAGAATCAGCAGGCCATAGAAGAACCCTGGAATAGTACGTTACAGCATGAGCAAGCTGGGTGGTCAGTATCCACATTCAACTTGACGTTACACTCATCAATTTAAATCAGTGACAGAACATAGGTCTTTCTTGCTGGCTGTACCTATATACATGCAAGACCCAAACAAATCAGAACGCATCCCATGATGATTTGTTTATTGTTCATTAATGTTCTGTGATTCCTTACCGATTTAAAAATGATGATCTGTATGTACCCAGTTAATTTTCGGGGTCGCCGTTCTCGTTCCAACGTGGGAATCAACAGATAGCAATAAATTCCCAAAACGACAGAAGGTTGACAGTGAGAATAATTGCCCGAATAGATCTTTTTATTCAAAATGCCATTACATCGTTCAAGCAAAACAGAATCTGTTTTCTCAGACATTCTATGGTGTTTGTCGTGTTTCTATTTTACTTTATATACAGAAATGGACAATAAGCATGCATCTTAACGCTTGATGTTACCAACAACAACTGCTCAAACAATTTCTGTTGTTTTGTTTGCTGTTTAACGCAGCACTTAGAGATATTCCAGCTATGTGATGGTGGTCTGTAATGATTAAGATAAACAGCAACATCAGCGCTGCTGGGATACGATGACATAGAGATTTAGTTTGATAATAGGCTTAACATAAAGGAACAAAAGGAAATACGTACATATTATGCTTCAATATTACTTCGTGAAAAATTACACTGTTCCCTAAACAATTGAGTGTGGACCAGACAATCCAGTGATCAACAGCATGAGCACAGATCTACACAGTTGGGCGGGATATGAAGCCATTTCTCAACCAGGTCAGCGAGCCTGAACACCCGATACCTAGAGTCGCCTTTTACGACAAGCATGGGCTGCTAAAGACACATTTTAATCAGGATCTCCACAGGTACCTCACATAAAATGTGCAATGAATAGTCAAACCTCCAGTATTAATTTACATAAGTTTTTTTATGCTGAACGTCAACACAACCTGCCATGACAAATGTCACAATATTCACAGCTGTGCATATCTATAAATAGAATACAAGTAGCAGTTCATATGGAAACCATTAGCGTATGCTCCTAGTTTAGGGCCAAAGCAAGGATTTGGACTTGGGAAATAGAGAATGGGTTCTTATTTTAATAATGTGAATACGTCAGCTATGACCTGATTTAGAAATGGACTTCAGCAACTCATGCTTGTCGTAAGAAGCGAATAACGGGACAGGTTGTCGTAAGAAGCGAATAACGGGATAGATTGTCGTAAGAAGCGAATAACGGGATAGGTTGTCGTAAGAAGCGAATAATGAGATAGTTTGTCAGGCTCGCTGACTTGGTTGATGCATGCTATCATTTCCCAATTGTGTAGATCGATGCTCATGCTGTCAGTCACTGTATTGTCTGGTCCACTCTTGAATGTTTACATACCGCCGTCATAAAGCTGGAATATTGCTCTGTGCAATACAAACAGAACATGTTCAGTTATAATATGTCATTAAATCTACTCATCGATGCATATGAAGTCTAACCTAAAACCTAATTGCCGCGTTCCATGGTAAATTATCGCGAGAGACAAACCAAGTAGAAAAAATACAGGTAATCATTGTCTTTTTTTAACACAAATTCCCTCCATTTTAGCTGTAATAGGGTTACGCTGTTTTCGGAGCAATATAATTTCCAGAAGCCCACGTTTTTTTTCAACTTCCCTCTTTCGTCGGGCAGTTATTGAAGACCTAGGGCTTCTACTAATGATAATGCCCTGAAAAGCAGCGTTACCCCTATACAACTGAGCATTGTTTCACACTTTTCTTGATCTTCAGTCACAGAGTATGTTGTTTAAGTAGACACTTTGAAGGTTCTCTCAGAGTTCTCTTCTCTTCCTACACACCGTTATTGCTGCTGTTGATATAGAACTCAACAGGAAACATATACCTGAAACACAATATACAGGTGAACATATATTTACAAAAATATTGACATTATACATCCTGTTTTGATTTTTGACTATATGATACATGTGTTCAAACACAAGCCATAAACTCACTCACTCACTACTGCAGAAGTAGTGTTTTAACATGTGTATCAGATGGCCATCCCAAGATGAACAAGTTGCTAGAAGACCCTCAGCTGACATGCTATGACACTTGTATGGCAACAAATACGTCTTAATCAATGAGATTTACTTATATATAATTTCTCCAGAGTTGCCCTTGACAAACTAATGTATTTGCTTGACGCAGTCATGCATCAACCGTGGCTGTGACGGGTGATGACGTGATGCTTTACTCTTGTTCTGTCCCTGTTGTCTTTACAGAGTATGTGGTTAATAAATTCACAGAATAAAATATTGTTTAAATGTTACATCTACCAACTATACATTTATGGCATGTTTTGTTATAATAGCATGTAGGTACAAGTGCTTAAACAGGTTATTTGCGACTTACCTGCAAAAATGAACGTATAATCGTACAACCCCGAGCTTTCGTAAATGAAACCTGAAAGCAATTCATCACCTGATTACCATGTATCTGTGCATTTATTGTAACATGACATTTCTGAAATGGATAACATTACTCCCTACAAGAACCTTTGATAAATCAATTTCTCAAACAATGACTTTTTCGTTTAAAGTTAGTTCACGAACGATGACACTCAATAACACAAATATACGAAACATGTATTTGTGTCAAATTCCTAAATATGTTTGTCAATATAGAACTTACTCGCGATGACAGGTCCAAGAAGGTATCCCACTCCACATGAGAAGTATACCACACCAAATCCAACAGCAACGGTCGCCAAACCCGCCAGCTCTATTGCGAAGGGACCCATTAATGAATTCGTCCCATGACTGTAAACCCCGTAAAAGAAACTAAAACCAAGTTGCCAGCGGTAGGTATCCGACATCAGAGGAAACAGAACTGTAATCACCCCAGTAATGCCAAGGAAACCCACTTGGAGCACTGAAAATTCCATGCTGGAATCGGAGGCCCAAAGTCCTATAATAAACCTCGCAAACACGCCCCCGGCACCCAATGCACTTAACAGATTTGAAGCTGCTGTTGGAGAACTTCCCATCACCTCTGCATAATTTGGTAAGTGGAATATACACGCAGCGTCACCTAATGACCAGAAAATGATGGTTGTGTTATACAGAAGGAACGATTTGTTAGAAAGACTCTTTAGAACAGTACATGTTGATTTGAGGCAACACTGTTTTGAGATTTCCTTTTCAATTGAAATGCTGGAACAGTTTGTTTTATGAAGAAAGGGAGTTTTTGTTAGCTGATCATCAGAATTTTCCAAGCATTGAGATGACACCACAGTTGTTCTGTTTTCAGTGCCTGAGTGCAGATTTCTCGGACAGAAAGCATCTTCCACCAATGCATCTATCTTCTTGACGGATTCGTCTTGAATTTTTTGCTCAATTTCAATAGTTCTGATGGACAGTGGTGGTTTACGTATGAGGGATGCTGCAACGCACATGTGAAATGCAATAGCACCAATGATGAGTAGTGTCCCATGCAGTTTGTACTCGTCCAGTAGATACCGTGCAAGGGGGCCAGCCACAAACAGACCCATACCTCCTCCTACCATGCACAATCCATAGGCTGCGGGTCTCTTCTTCTCAAAATATTGTCCAGGGATGACGCCGACAACATTGGCACCCAGACACAATCCAAACCCTGTTGATGAGAAACCAGCAGTAAGCCACTGAACATATAACCGACATTACTTCACGAGAGAAAGATACCTTAAATATATGAACACTGTGTGTGAACTGTGAATTGTATTTCAGTAATATCCCAGAGTACTAGCTTAATGTTGATTCTGACTATCTTTGTCCTCGGTATGAAGGGTAGAGAGAAAACTTGAGTGAGTGAGTTTAGCTTTACGCCGCTGTTAGCAATATTGCAGCAATATCACGTCGGGGTACATCAGAAATGGGCTGTTCACAATGTACCCATATGGGGAGTAGAAGTTTTCGACGGCGTCCCGTTTGTCAGACGGTTCCGAGGCTCGTATTTTCGAAGTATTGAACACATGAGGGGTTATTATTGCTCTCCTTCATTTGTAGTTCGGATGTGTGTATATCAGTGGAGGGAAGTTGAATGTTCGACGAATTATTGAGAGAGTGACTTTACTTGATAGTTTTCTTACCCGCCATTATTCCATACGTAAAGATCAGCCCTACGATTGTTTGACAAAACGATGCAATGGTCATCCCCAGGAGTGCCAGCGTTCCTCCGGCGAACGCCGTCAGTTTAGACCCAATTCGGTGTTGAACCATACCAGCTAATGGTCCTGAAGAGAATGAGTGAGTGATTTAGGGATCATGTCCCACAATGGTAAGATCGTGACATGTGTTCTCCGCAGCTGTGAAAGTATTTCAACAAAACCAAGGCGTGTCTCCTTGATATGACCAAGACCATGAACACTACTCAAAAGTGCAGAGCCATCACGGGTTCCTCCTGCAGAACCTCAAGTCAACCTGACCACGATGCCTACAGGTCTGCCTACACCACCCGATTGGTGTTGCCTGCTCCTTTAGTACGTATGCTGGGATTCATACAGCTCCCCATGGTGGATGAAGCAGAAGAAATAAGCCAAGTCTCTGCTCAGCCTGTGCAAGTGGCTGTGTTTGACCGTCCTCTCGTCGTGGGTGAACAGGAAGCACACCATCTGGCTGGTTTTGATACCGTGTACGTCTACTCGGATGCGGTGGAAGATCAAATCGTGGGGGATACCATGGCTCCCTTACTGATGTATGTCCCCGTGTCGCGCCAGATGATGGAAGATAGCGTCGCGTGATCAAAACCCTCAGCACCTACGCTACATGGGATTGCGTCCAGGGAACCACGGATGCCATTCGAATCTATTTAACGGATGACGTAGGGACGTCTTGTGCCATTCCAGACTGGGAAGACCATCGTGACACTTCATTACCGTCCCGTCGCCTGGAGTGCGTACTGAGACTCAACATGGTAGGACACCAGTGTATCAGACTCGCGCAGCGGCAGCAGTTTGGGTGGACAGCAGCGAGGAGGAGGCGGCTTAGCCGTGTACCGAGGACGCATTCATCAACGAGGGAGAGGTTTCGGTAACATCTTGGGAAACTTGGGACGTTCAGCACTCTCCATCCTCAAGACGGTGGGAAAATCAGCTCTCAAATCAGGCGTCAAGATGTTGCCGGGATTAGTGCAAGATATCAGTTCAGGACACCGAAGTGTGGGGGACAGTTTGAAACATCATGGGAAACAAGCCTTACTTGCCACCTTGCGACAGCACCCACCACCAGGATCACCCGCTCGCAAACGAAAACGGAAACAGCCTGTGGGATCCACCAAGAAACGTAAACCCTTGTTTTGAGAGAAAGAGATAAAGACCCACCCCGATGGGAAACACCAGACACCGTAGGGAAGGCAGCCAAAGGGACCCATCTCCAGTGTCCAGGATGGTACACCGATGAAGCTGGAAAAATGGAGCACTTTAATGCTGTCGCCCAGAATGCCAACGCAGGACTTGTCGCACGACGAGGGGTCATTCTACCCATCCGAGACGTGGAACTGACAGGACGTCTCCACTATGACCTGTTTCTCGCAGCCCGAGTGATTTCTACTTGATGAGTGCTGGCGACGTCGAGTGTCGATTTGAACTGACCAAAGCCGAGTTTTACGTGCGCCAAGTCAACATTGATCCTGCCATACGGGAACAACACGTGAAACACATGTCACCAGGAGTCACGCCAAATATCCTCGACCGAAGTCCAAGTCACAGCCCACTTTACATTTCAGGAGGAGGACGCGATTTCCACAAAGATCAACTGATTGAGGCCAACTGCCCAAACGAGTGGTGTTGGGATTGGTGGACAATGATGCTTTGCTGGCAGCAAGGAAAGAACCCCGTACCATTTCAAGCACAACAACGTGACCAGTCTCAAGCTGAAACTCAATGGGCAAGAAGTGCATGGCACCGAAATCAAAAGCGACTTTCAGGACAACAGTGCCTCGCTCAAACAGTTGTACATGAACCTGTTCCGCAACACGGACACCTGTGGCAAGAACATCCCTGCAACCTCACCCTGGACGAATTCAGGAATGGATTCACTGTGTGGGTGGTGGATCTGACGGCAGATCTGGGCGCAGATGAAGGGTATAACTAATCACCCACAGACGGGCAAGTTAGGACTTGAACTTCAGTTTGCAGAACCCCTACCACGCCCCGTCACGCTTCGTCTGCCACGAGGAATACGAAAGCGTTTTGAAATTGATCGGTTCCTGCAACGCTCTGATGGTCTAAGGATGGACGACGACGACAGTGGCTTGACGACCAGACACTTGAACGCTTCTCGTACAACAGGATCCCCTGCTGCGACCCTCTACCAAGGGTCCCGAGATCACTTTGCCACCACCGTGCTGTGTGAACAGCAGGAGGGACATTATCCTAAAGCCTACATTGTCAACACGGACCCCAGCCATCTCCCAGGACAACACTGGGTGTAGCGCGTATCGTCCAGTACCAGGTGCCATGGACTACTTTGACAGTTATGGACTTCATCCCTATCAACAGCATCCAGACTTTCGAATGTCATGACCTTCGCCGGATGGCTCCAACAACAGTGGAATGGCCAATCACTTCAACCCTGGTTCAGTGCCTCTTGTGGGATGTACTTGTTTATATGTACTGGCTCATCGTGCCCGTGGATGGTCTTTGATGAAGTGATGGAACAGTTTGATCCCTACGATACCCTCGTCAATGAAGAACGTGTAAGACGTTGGTTTCAACCCACACGCCTGACAGACAACAACAACGCTGGCCATGATCCACACCCCTGCCAAAGGACACAACCTTATCGTTCTGATGTGATGATGTTACAGTTCTGATGTTACAGTTATGATGTTACAGTTCATACCGTTTGTAAACAAAAGATCAGGGACGCCCCTAATCCTGTCTCTTTTGTCAAAGTGTTCTTGTTAGCGGGGAAAATAAAACGTTTGAAAAAATGTCAACCTAGTGTTGTTGTTATTATTGTTGGCATTGAAATGAAGCTTTCTTTTGAGAGAGATGGATGGCCCTGAAAAGGGCCGTTTTTTAGAATGTACTTCACTCCAGGGACCACAGTGGGGTCAGACATTGGCAGGGATGGATGGTCATCTTTGTTTTCCAGGGGCACTTGCTCCCATGAGTTAAACGCCTGATATAAGTGTCCTTCAAGACAGTGCCACAGTAGATACATTGAAAGGTGGCATTGTGCTCAATGGTGCCATTGGCGTAGACGGGTAGGGAGCCATAACATCGTTGGCACTTCCATGCCGGCAAGGGGGGTGGTGATGCTGTCTCCAAGGACATGAGTTCCAGATCCCAGTTTTCTCCAGACATGATTGCTGGTTGTAACACTGCTTCCGTCACCCCGCTCATCATATATAGTGAGAGCTCACGATCATGACGTCACCGGTGCCACGTCATTACCCTCACGCGCGACCATGACGTCATCGATACCACGTCATTACCCTCACGCGCGACCATGACGTCATCGATACCCACGTCATCGATACCACGTCATCGACGACACGTCATCGCTGTCTCGTCGCCCATATATAAACTCCAGCATGGATCAGTGAGGGCTATCTTGATGCAACATGGATACAAGAAAGTGAAAGTCATGCGACCGGTGCCTTACAGGAAAAATTGTGGTAGACGGTAATGCTTGCGATGCAGCCCTACCTTACAAGGGGAAGGCTGACATCAAAATGGAAGAGGCAGCAACAACACCTGCAGAACCGATACCCGCAATAACGGTAACAGAAGCAGCGGCAGGCCACCACCACCACCACTCTACGACAGGAGACACGGTAGCGCCACCACCACCACCACCACCACCAACAACAACAACAACAACATTATCAAAATGGTCATCCCAATGGCGACTAATTATCTGCCCTACCTGTTTTAAAGCCTATCCCTCAAATCGCTTTTGATGTCGTTCCAGGAGCTGCCTTCTACATATGCCTCTACTGTGGAGAAGGCATCATCAAGAGAGGGCAGCAGCAACACGATGATGTGCGCCCCGGAAAATTTATTTTCCTCTCCAACTCCTCTGTGAATGCTAACCTGGCTGGTTCACATACCAACGGCCCTTTTCAGGGCCACCCACCTTCGCTTCGAAGAAGGCTACATCCAATGTTTTTAACCACACACACACACACACACACACATTTGTCTAGCCACGCCATCGGCCCGCCTCACCCTTCTCCCTCCCTCCTTTTCCTCTTTCCTCTCCTTCCTTTCCTCCCTCCGTCCCGTCCCGTCCGCCGTTCGTCCGTTCCGCCATCTTGAAAGGCGTCTACGCTCGCGAGATCCCGCGAGAATCCACGAGATCCCGCGAGATCTTACGCGATCCCACCGGATGGGACGCCATCTTGAAACGCGTCCGCCATCTTGGCCCGGAGGCGACGTCATCGTCATGCGCGCGCAACCACCGGAACCGGACGTGACGTCATCGCGATGCGTGCGCACACACCGGAACCGGAAGCACCGGAACCGGAACCCGAGTGATCTCCCCCTGGCCGGAAGTGACCGGATCCAAGATGGCGGCGCCCATGGGGACCGGATGTGCCGCCATTTTGAAAAAGGGGCCAGGGTGACACTGCATACTACTCTTATCCCTGCTTGATAGTTGTGTCCTATTGACAAACTAAAAGTGTTTACAGGGAGTTTACAGTTTGAACTTCAGAGCTCCACTTGAGCTATCAACTTTTGCAAACCTTTTATAGTACTTTAAAACTTACCTACAGCTATATATCATCAGCAAACGGCAATCTAAGTATCTTAATAACTGGATGAAGCTGTTTACCATTCGCAATTTGCGTAGCAAGTTCACTGATGAAAAAACAGAAAAGGAAAGTGCTAAGAATTCAGCCTTGGCGTACAACGGTGTTACATGTAGAACGTTAGGCCATATTTCACAGTTTCTGAAACATAACTTTACTCTTTTATATAAAAATTGCAAATATTCAACACATTCTAAAAGAAATGACCACCAATTTTTGTTTGCAGAAACAAACGAACTTTGATTCATGCGCAACGATTTTTGCTAGTATAGGGTATCCATCCATAAAACCTCATCTTTTTCCCGAGTATATTGTATTATTACGTCTAATTGACATATCATTTGTAGAATGCATATCGTTTCTTGGATACACCATAAATTAAAGATAGTTCTACCTTTTTATGACTGGATATATTACATTTTTACAAATCCGTTTTATCCAAACGGTCAAATGATTGTTATGAATGAAT